GCCAAACCACACCCACCAGCTCCGAATACTCATTCATGGGGCCAACCGATGAAGAACTCAAGAAAAGGGAACAACAAGTATAGCATAACGCTATGTCATGGACGGTATGCTACAATGACGGTTGCCAAACACATTTTGGCGACAAAGAAGCCTCGGGACGGTTCCCGAGGGAATGTCGAAAGCGTGGTCCACGCCCAGACCACGTCCTGAAGCATTGGCAACAATGCTTCAGAAATGGGTGCTGGATGCACAGGGTGCAGAAGGATGAAAGCTGGAAAGAGTTGGAAGGAGAAGATGCCAGAAAGGCATGGGCCGCGAGGATACGGTCCAGGGAGGGAGGGGCCTAAAACTCCTCAGCAGACACGGAACCAGACGTCAGGAGCCTACACAGGCAGATACGGGGACTCCGAGAACAACTTGGCCAAGCTGAGACTACAATTTCGGCAAACAACAAAACGATCGCGGAGCTAAGACAGCTGAACAATAATCAGTGGCACACGATCGAAATGGCAAATCTGACCCTAGAATCAGTAAGGGTCACATGGAGGATGGCAGACGAAAGGTTCCACAAGCTGAGAAGAACTATGCGCTCAGCAGGACGGGAACTATTGAAACTGGGAGAAAAAGCCTGATGGGACTCAGGCTTAGGAGGAGGGGAGCTAATGTCACAAGCGTGGCTTAGCATGAAAAAGGTTTTCACGTGACACATGGTTATGAGTCACAGGTATGTTATTGTTTTGTGCATATGACTCATTCGGGTTATATGATTTGTTATGTGTGGGATTTGTGATGCTTTCGCACATAGCTCAAGTATGAGTCATGGGACGTGCGCCTGACGAGTATGCCTTGCGAGTGTGCCTTGCAGGTAAGCCTTGCGCATATGATTTACGTTTCGCACATGACCTCATTATGAGGTCATGTGTTTCGCGCATATGACTCAGTCGAGTCATATGACTTGTTTATTGTGTTATGATTAGGTTATGTGTTTTTGTACATGACCTCGCTATGAGGTTATCGGTTTTGAGCATGTGATCACTTTGGTCATATGACTAGTTTGTTATGAGTTGGTTTCGCACATGTGACCACTTTAGGTCACATGACTACGGGCGGGAAGAATACTATATAAGGAGGCCGATGTAGCCGAGGAAGATAGGTTCTTCACTCTTTGTTCTAAGTACTTTTCCTACTTATTACTTTAACAAATATAAAACATCTTTATGATCTTTACCTTTATTGCACCATTATTGTTACGCCAAGAAAAGTCCTTCACGAAGACAAGTTAGAGAAAGCTTACGTTAGGCGTTCCCGATAGAAGACAAAGGTCTTGTACTATTGGTAACGTAGGCAGAGGCCTAGAGCTATCGTAAGACAAAGAAAGAAGAAAACAGAAAGAGAAGTATCGTTCCCCGTCGCCAAGAACTAACTATCCAGAGAGGGATTGTTACACCTATTCACCAGATCTCAATCCAATTGAAAATATTTGGTCTCTGGTGAAAGCTAAGCTTCATAAGCACTACCCTGAGCTATATCTTATGAAGGGTGATGTCAATGTGGTCCCAAAGGCAATAGTAGAGGCCATCACTCATTGTTGAGAACTTCTTGACCCAAAGATTTTTGATACTTTCGCTGGATCAATGGTGGATAGAATAGAGGCAATTATTAAGGCTGATGGATGGTATACCAAATATTAATTTCTACTATGTATTTACATCTTCCAATTTCTTTTTTTTTGGTTTTCATGATAGTGGATTGGTGGGTGAGTGTGGTTGTCATCGCCGAAGATTTTCCTCTGTTGAATCACAGTTAATTTTGTCCACGCACAATACTGAAGATATGAAGTTTTAAATGCAGCTTGAACCTATCATTAAATTTTTACTGCGTCGTGCTCTACAACTTAATTATCATACTGTAGATTCTTATGGCAACCGAGGATTAGTAAAATTTTCTGAGCGATCATTCACTCTCGCTCGCTTCACGGACCAGGTCTGGCTCATGGGGTATGATTCTGGGAACCGCTAACAGACTTGTCGTAAACTAAGTGACAAAACCACACAGCCACCTGGGCAGCCCCACTTATCGTATTCGGATGACTGTTAAACTTAAACATTAGGGTTTCCTATTGTAAATCTACTAACGGGGCGGGATCTCAAGTGAAATCAGTGTTCAAACTACAGGAGTCTTACCAGAGCTGGTTAACGAAATAACGAATATGACACCATCTGGCATAATAACTCGGCCTCTCCATGCTATACTCAGCGCCGGATATACTATTTATTCCCTAGACGTTTTGTTTCTGATCATGGGGGTTCGGGTTCGATTTGAGATGGTGGATTTATAAACAAGTAAATGTGGTGCCGCAAGTAGACCAAGAGATGAGTTGTGTGAAATTAACCAATCAGCTTGTGTCTAGGTGGGGAGTGCCCTAGTACCGGTAGCTTGTATAGCTTCACCTGGGATGGGAAACAGGATTATTATACAGTACCTGGAATCAAAATTTAAAAGTTGGACATATGATACCATTTCCGAGGGTTTGCCATTTTAGTGTAATTTAGGGTAATTTCCCTAAGGTGAGTTATCAACCATGTCAGGTATCATATCATACCGTAACGCATACGTATCATACCGTGACGATAATATTGTTTGAACACCGCGGGCAATACCTGAGCAGCACAGGGCTTAAGAAACCACCCGGACTGTCCCTCTTACCTCTTTCTTAGGGCAAGACCAAAAAGCCACTTGCTATTTTTTCCTCCCCCGTTACCATACCTCATACATAAATAGCTCCTTAATATTTTCGGCGCACCACACAAACATCAGTTTGGGAGATAAACAACGGCGTGCCAAACACTCCCCTACTACTAAAGAAACTCTACTTTCAGTCTGTTTCAGCTGATCCATCTGCATTATCACCAGTAAGCCCTTTTGCTCCCTATCGCTTCCCCATACCCAACCTCTCTTGCCCTGTTCTCTCCTATTTTTAGCTATTCCCGAATCTTTCCCCTCTATATTCAACACTTCTACATTGGCTAATAAGACAAGAACTCTCCCGTGCTCTCCCCCCTATGACTGAATCCTCAAATCTCAGCCAAGGTAGTGCCTCAACCCCGGATTCCCCTCTGTCGAAGGAGTCCCAGTTCTACTATGCCGGCCTACCCTCCCGCCCAGTATTAGTTGGCCGCTCAAGCACCACTCCGTGGGAGGAACCCAGTGGGCCGGAGGCTTACCTTAAGCACAAGGTACTCAGGCCCGTCGGCCGACATCCAATCAAGGATGTCTGGGAAGGCAACTTACCTCGCAAAGTCATCGAACACCTGGATTCGAAAAAGGTGGCTTTCACAAGCATTGATCTAGTTCGCATCGGCTATGAGGAAGAGCCCTTTCCCCCTGCCATCCTCTGGATCGGCGTGCAGCCCAAATCTCTATCTTTCGAGAACGGCACCAAAGTGGCCCTCAGTTGCAAGGAGATTCTCGTAGAGTACGGCATCACGGACGTCGATGTTGAGATCCGCGAGTCCATAGTGTGGCACTAGGGAAGGACTCAGACATGAACCCTAATGGGTGGTACGTGGGATACAGGGATTATACGGAGGGCATGACGTCATTGAGCTAGAAGGGTTCCAACTGTTATGATGGTTTGGGTGACGGTGGTATATGTGTTTTCTCTTTCCTGTATTTAATTAAGCAGGAAACCGATCAGTCATGGAAGCACATCCACTTTCTCCACTACTCGTACTCAAGCGTTTTCACTCTCTCGCTTGCAAAGTACCCGCTACCAACACTCACCATCATGACCCCCCCCTTTGGAGGTTACAAGCTACTTGTAAACCCCACCTTCACCTCCCACCCAACCATAGACATTTGCAACCCTCTCCCACCCCCCACACTCAGTCTCCTCATCTCTGGTAATCTCACGCCTTCCTTTGAGGGTGCTGGTAGCCTTAGAGACCCACCGATTTCGGTCGGCCGGTCTCCAGGGCGCGGAGAATGAGATATATATATGTATTCCGCCTATTGTTTGTATTGTCGAAACTCAATTGGGATGGAAATAGTCGAAAATCCCCTCCCCATCCTTTTTCGCAAAACATTTCATTAACCAACTACCATAGCAGCAAATCGTCGAAGAGAAACATCCTTGGATGCCCGAGAAATCCTATTGGGTGGGAGGGTAACCAAGCATAATCAATCACTCGTTCCAAATGAAAAACCGAGGCAGGCACACAACTCATCCTCAGACCCGTAGTTTGCCCATCGAAATTTCCCATTCATTAACCCAGTTTCCCCCGAACAGGTTCTCTATCTACCGTACCATACCATACCTTACAAGTCGTGTAAAAAAAAAAAAAACCCCCCGAATCTTTTTTTTTATATCCATCCATCCATCCATACCAAATCCCATATAAAAATATAAAAAGTATGATAGTAGTAGTACACGTTAAAAGAGACAAATGATCAATGACCCCCTTCAGACTCTCCAAACTATTACGTTTAGATCTTGAACTTGGAGCTATCACACGACCCAAGGAACGAGCAGGTATCACAATATGAGTTTAGCTTCTTGCAAACGTTATCTTGCCACTCATCGCACTGCTTGTTTGCGACTTGGAAGCTCAGGCCTGACTTGAGTATGCACTCGGCACGGGAGACGAGACAGCTGGCCCAGGATACCTTGCAGGTGGCCTTGTTTGAGAAGGTGAACGGCTTGCAGCACCAGTTCCCTAGCATTGGGTAAGTGCAGGTTGAGGTTGGTGCCGGAGTTGTTGTGGTTGAGGTTGTTGGGGTAGTGGTGGTGGAAGATGAGGTGGTAGAGGTTGTAGATGACGAGGAAGAAGTACTGGTTGAGCTGCTTGTAGTTGTTGAGGAGCTGGTGGTTCCGGTGGGTGTGGTTGTTGTTGAACTGGTGGTTCCGGTGCTGCTGCTGCTGCTAGTAGATGTAGTAGAGCTAGAAGAGGAATTCGTTGGAGGGGCTATAAAAATATCATAAGAATCGGCGCTGACTCGCATCTCAAAAAAATTATGTAGATTTTCCGTGACTCTTGTACAATGGAACTATGGATTTACAACTCTTCTCCAACCCTTTCCACAACCAACGGGATACAACTGAAATCTTTACTTACTCGTCGTTCCGGAGGTTCTGTACCAATTGGCCTCAGGATCGTTCAGGCACCTTCCTGCAGTGACACCTGTTCACTCGTAATTAGCACCCTGCTTCTCCCTTCTCCTCAAGTGTACCAAGGAAAGGACAGCAACCCACCTTGATAGCCATACTGAACCATCTGATCAAACATGTATGTGGTAAGATTATGTACCGTCTGATAATGAATATCATGAGCAATGGCCAAGAAGTCCTGAGTGGTGCTATCGGTGCCAGCGAGGAGATTATGCACCACGTCCTTGGAGATCTGGTTTGTCTCGGGGGTGGTGTGCAAGTAATCCTGGGTGTCAAAGTCAAAGTATGTGATGTGGTAGCCAAGTTTTTTCATAGTGGCCTTGCAAGCAGCATTGCAAGACGAGAATGGCGGCCTCGACCACAACAATCAGTACGACTCTCCCTGTCGAGGGGGGGGGGGGGTACCTCATGTAAGTCGGCACCTTCCCACAGATATTCCGGAGCGCCATCTCATTCTTGATCATCTCCGTCTCCCGGTCAGCATCTGAGAGCAAGGACAAATCCGCATGACTCCAAGTATGCGACGCAATCTGATGCCCATCCGTCACCATCCTCTGTATCACACTCGTCCACGCAGGTGTGGAATCAATAGCGCCCTTTCCATTATTGACCCCAGTGATGAAGAAAGTAGCCTTGAAGCCGTAGGCTGCGAGCAGGTCCAGTAAATCATTAGTGTATGTGTACGGACCGTCGTCGTACGTCAGCGCGACATGGCCAGGGTATCCACAGTCGTAGATGTCCTCGCCGTAAGGCACGGAGCCGAGCTCCGGTCTGGCTAGCCCCGCGGTGGAAGCGCCGGAGGGTGTCTGGTCACTGTCGCAGACTCCGAAGCCTCGGAGGCAGTCTGGAGACTTGCAGTAATCCGATCCGGTGCCGCAGTAGCCTGCTGGGCTGCAGCATCTGTTGTTGGAGCAGACTTGGTTCCCGCCAGCTGGACCGCAGCGATCGTCGCTGCCGCCGCCGGGGGTGCTGGTTGAGTTGCAGGTCTTGAGAGGGTGATGTTAGAATCTTAGTTTTTCACATTTTTGAAGGAGATGGGGGGGGGGTGTACTCCGTATGCAGGTTGGCAGCCGTTTGCTGGGAGGCAGTAATCCTGTGTTTTTCGAGCAATTGTCAGCCTTGCTTGATCTTGGGTCGTGCAGAGTGTGCGGGTATTATCGTACAGATGTTGTCCCGCAGTAGCCATTGGCTGAGCAGCAAGATCCTGTTACGCAACTATTATTCCCGTTCGTAGGACCGCATAGATTCGGGTCAGTAGGCGTATCTCCGCCGCCGCCGCCGCCGCCGGAACTCGTACAATTCTGAAGGCAACACCCAAAGTTAGCCACCCACTCTTTTATTCATTTCTTAAGTCCAGCCAAAGCAGCCAATTCACCCCCGGAGTCTCCACCAGCGCTTTCGGGAAAAAGAAACCACTCCCAACAATAACCGAAAAAGCAAGAAATTCAGAATTAAAAAAAAAAAAAAAAAAAACTCACCCCATATGCTGCCTGGCACCCGGTCCCGCAGTAATCGGAGGTGGCACCACAATACCCATACTGCGAGCAGCACGTCCCAATATTCGTGGGGCCACAGGTATAATTATTACCCGCCCCAGCGAATAAATTCCCACAAGTATTATCCGGGGAATCCCGCTTGGACAGGACCGATGGGAGGAACGGGTGGGCTACGGCGAAGCTGCTGAGGGCAGCGATGCCACCCAGCACACTGAGAGCCGTAGAATATCGCATTATCGCTTTTTGAACGAAAAGCTCTCAATCGATTAAACCAAAAATTAATAGTTAAAGGGTAAAAGGGCGGGCTAAGTCGAATAATTAAAGCAAGATGAAAGAGCGAGAGGACAGGTGCACAATGGCCCCAAGTTTGGAAGAGCGAGTAGTAGATAGAGGCGCCGTTGAAGGGGAGCTCGACTCGTGATAGTCAGAACAAAGAGGATGGCGGTTTGAGGAGATTTGGGGGATAGATATATATATACTTTCCACCCTCCTACGGTACTCACACACATCCCAGTAAGTAGGTATGTATATAAGTCACTGTAGCTAGCGTAGCTAGAGAAAAGACCCCAGAGGATTGAGACCCCTTATGGTGGTTCACTTTTGCCCATCCCTTCCTTTCTCTTCCATTAATTTCTAATTCACTCCTTCTCCCGCCCACAAATTCTACTCGTACACTTCCCAGATCTGGGCAGGACAGGGTCCTGCTGGGCTAGAAAATTCCATAAAGGAAACAAGTTGAAGGGTGGAAGTCTCACTAACCAGCCAGCTGGGTGCTGTACTCGTACAAGCAGAATGAGCGGGATGGGTGTACCGGTACTATACTTTGCGGTAAAGGGTCAATCCATCTCACACGCTTGTTTCCGACAATAGATATCTGGAAATACAGCCATTGTTACACACCCACCCAACCAGCGAAGAAGAAAAAAACCCTGTATCATCTCCAGATACTTTGTGCCAAATGCGAAGTAAGAGTACAGGTACTGTACAGTCCAGACGAGGGTATGTGCGTAGGAAAAACTGGCCCGGCACAGTTGTTCCGGGGAGAGTGTCAATTCGTTCCTTCAGTTCTGTACTACGATACTATATCCGCAGGTACCGGCAGGTAGGGTTTGTTGAATCGAGTTGATTAATTATCGCGGGTCAAGTGGGGACTAACTAACTATTGTATAACTAACTAGTTACTAACTAGCCACAATTACCGATATCTGTAACTAACTAACCAGAGGCAGTCTCCCCCCTAGTCCCATTGTGCAACTTTGCTCCTCCCGGATTGGGATACAAAGGAAGCGAGTGTCTAGAGCATGGTACAGGTACCAGTATTAGAATGAGTGAGTGGCAACAGTACTCGAGTACTACTGCTCTAACCCACTCGCGGGTTAAAAGAGAAGAGAGTGGAAGGTATGACATTTTTTTTACTGCTTGTGAGCTGGAACACGACAGGCACCGTACCCGAGCACTGTAGCAGGCCTCTGGAAGGGCCCCTCTCAAGGAGGTTTTCCCCTTCCCTCCCCCCCAACTGACAGTCCACTATACCGGTAGTATTGTAGCACCATACCAAAGGGAGGCAACTCCACTCAATCCCTCCTTCATTCATCCATTCAAGGCATATCGTGTCAAGTTTTTTTAGCCATAAAGAGTTGGTTGTTCCATCCATCCATCAACTGTTGCCCCGTTATAATACTAGTACTTGTATAGACCCACCCAAGACACCTCCTCCCTCTCCACCTCCTATCCGAACGAAACACATTAACAAGGTATAAATAGCCCATAGCAAGCGAGCCGTTAGGTGAACAAATGCAACAGTTGCAGGAAATCGTCAACTGTGTTGTTCCTTTTTTTTTTTTTTTTCGGGGGGGAGAACAGGGAATGGCAAGATCTTGGAGAGACATAGTAGTGCTGCGCTCTGCAGGATCTTTTGGAAGGGATCGTGTTTATTTTTCTTCTTTTTTCAGGCGGGGGAGTGCAAAATCCAGCTGTGATTCGCTCCGCTTTGTTATTTGCCCGTTTGTGAGAGCTGGCTGCTGGGCATGAGTGGGATGAGAGGGTAAAGGAGAAAGGCAGTAAGGCGATTGATAGAAAGGGAATAAAATAAGAGAAATATCGAAAACCCATCTGGTACTACAGTTCCAATATCACATGCTACCAGTACTATTGTAGCCCAATTCTCCCGGTTTTAGACATTCGCCATGGTACGACATCAGCACGGATATTCTCTCCAAGACTTCCAAGCCAGACCGAGTAGGCATTCTCTAACGACTTCACCGCCTGGCCGCCGGTGGCCCCCCCGCCTCTTGCGGCAACAAGCCCAGATTGCGCGAGAAGGTGGAGGGATCCGGGGCTCGCCAGACTAACGTCTCACACGGAATGACTCTTCTTACTCGGGGTAGTGCCCAAGTTCCCGAGATGGTGGCTTTTTTTATTTGCTCGCCCCACCCAACGCCGGCCAGCAAGCGATACGATACTATACTAGTAGAAAGCAGGAACCTCTCCATCCAGTAATCATCATCACCAGGTCAGAGTGGACCGTTGGGGGATTATTGTACAAGTTACCGTACTGTATCATGCTAGTACTGTACCTAACTTGCTAAAGGGGGAGAGCGAGAGAGAAGAGAGTTGTGTCACCACCATCAGAAAACGCGGTAGTTTTATAATTCATTTCAGCTCATTTTCTTCCTCTTGTGCTTCAATTATCTTCGGTTTGTTAAATTACCGTAATGAATGAGATCTCCGTCTGGTTTCGACATGATACCCGGCCTCCTTTTTAAGAATTGTTTGTTTCCCCGAGCCGCCGTGTTCAGCTTTTTAGCGGTTGGGATGTCGAATGAGAGGTGAGTGGAGGCTAAGTCGTTGAATCAATCGATGAATCCATCAATCAACCAATCCGACAAGTCACCTAAACGGGCGGCCGATAAAGACAAGCCACGGAAAAAAAAGAGAGCTCCACCACAAACTGATGTTGAGAGAGAGAGAGAGAGAAAACCATCGCGGTATCATACAAAGTAGGAACTCCAAATCCATTACGTATCATATCTCCAGCGCAAGAAATCTTATACTTCCCCACTCTGTACGAGTACACCCAGCTCCTTCGATAGCTTTTCTTCCTTTTTCCTTCTCCTTTTTTTTTTCTTCTTCTCCTGCCACCTACGTTATCTGCAAGCCCACTTCCACATCCACGCCGGCGACGCGGCAGGCGGGCGGTATCTTTCGGATGCTCACCGATATCAGCAGGGCTTCCTCTCTTTCTCTCTCTCTCTCCCTTCCTTCTCCCTTTGTCTGTCTGGCCGATATTATGATGGGAGAAAGTTTCGAGTTTGTCGAAACAAAGGCCCCTTCTTTGCTTTGTGCCACATGATACTTCTACAAGTAGCCCAGACCAAACCACACACGATCCGCATCATCATCATAGCATCTATCGTACGGGATTCCCGACATGGCAAATATTTCCCCACTCGCTAGAGCAGGGTGGACTAAACGAGAGCGAGGAAGTTATGTTATATGCTATCATAATATTATCAAGGCAGGGAAGAGACGAGGGCAGGGGGGTAGGGAAGGAAGGAAATCATTGAAATGGTAAATTTTTAAGCCAGGGGGAGAGTGCACTCGAGTAGTACAAGCGCACGGTTTCCACGGGATCGGAGGTGGACTTGTTTCCGCCCGCTAGCAGGGCTGGTTGGTCAGGGTATGGTACTGTAAAGGGGTCCTCCATATAGGGCCTCGTCATACTAATTTATACTGGTAATGCTGAATGGATATTCGATGGTGGTGCTCGTATGCTGGGACATGGACTACGGTAGGCGATTGTTACGCCTGTGTAGGAGCACTTTACGAGCACATAGGGGGACAAAGAGGATTCCCGTATAATTACCTACAGCTAATAATACACTCGGTCATTGGCAACACCGGCAGTTTAATATCGTACCTTTTTCATAATATTATTTCAATTCTATGATACCCCAGAATTGTCTTATTACTTGTACTAGTACAAAGCTACTATGATACAGGTACCACCAGCATGTACTGTACTCGAGTACTCGAGTACCCACCACGCCAGGGGTTGGGGGTTTTTCCTTCTTCCTCCCTTCCCATCGTTCCTCCAGCATAAGGGTTCAACTGTCCCGCTCTGTCCCGTCCTGTCTTGTCACGCCCCGTCGATGCCGAACCCACTTTCCGTCTTTGCCTCCTTCTCGACCCTCCTGATTTGGAATGTACTTACTAGTACAGACATGGTAGACTCTAGGTAATACGGTAAGGAGAGTAGTACGAGTATTATACCTTCCAACTATACAATATACAAGTACGATCTTTGAATTAAGTTACGAACCAATCGGACCAGGAGAGGCCATGCTCTGATATCGCAGACCACTATATCCCGGGAACTCCGATTTGGTCTTGGAACGGCCGCATAAGCCTTCGCTGCCAGGGCACTAGGCATTGGCATTGGTATTGGAGAAGTTCGGGCTGATACGACAGGCACTGGCGGGGAAGGTGGAAGTGGGTTTGACGTTTGTGAACACGACCGCTATTGCATTACGCCAAATTTTGGCCTTTCCGCACGGATCTGGATCGCATGCAATGAGAAATCTAGCACCTGCAGCAAGCAAGTGAAGAAATAAACTGAGAACCTGTTGTGGTGGAAGGGGGGGCAACAGTTGAAATTGACGAACGAACAATTCGGATCCCCTTACCCTACCATAGCTGGTGGTCATTCGCCCAAGTAAACAGCTCGCTTAAGGATCATCAAGGCGTGAGAAACATGTGCTGGCCGGCTGCTGGGTTCGTTGGTTTGGCCTGCATGCGCTTGACTGACGTCCACAACACCTCTCTACTGTCCACAACACCTCTCTACTCGAGTATCATACCTACCATCCAGCGACCACCACCACCATCACCAACGAACGAACGAACCCACCACCCCCGTTCCCTCGCTCCCTCGCTCCCGCGACCTAACCACCACCACCACCATCCATTTTCAAATACTGATCGCACACAATCCCCCTCCTCCCCTCGCCTTCTAATACCAGTACACAAATGTCCGATCCAGGAAATCCAAACCCACCCCAGCAGGTATCCACTCCTCAGGAACGCAAAATGGTACTCCCCCTCCTCCATCCCACCCCACCCGGATACCCGTCTTCCCGCTCCCTAACAATTCGAGTGCAGGCATCCCTACGAAAAAGCATAACCTCGCTAGAATCGCAAATCGAGAAAATAGAAAGCGAACATGCGGTGGTGTTGGCGAGACTCAAGTAAGTACCGTGCAGCTTTATCGTAGGATAAGTGCATTGAAAGGAAAAAAAAGAAAAAACCAACAGTTTTGTCTTTGGCTGGGCTTGGGCTGACCATGTGGGGGTGTCTGAAGTGAAAAAGATGCGGAGAAAACTGTGAAAGGG